GTGGCAGAGGAGGTGAATTCACTTTATGGTGGCCAGGAAGCAAAGGAAGAGGCTGGGAATATTCTTTTAAAGGTACACTCCAGTGACCTCACATACTCCACAAGCACTAGCTATCAGGTCCTGTAACCCCAGTGTTGGTGCAGTGGGCCAGCTTCCCCAGTGACTGGGTTCTTCCCACAGGTGAACATTGGATTTGCAGCAACAGAGAAAGCAAAGACTCAGAGGAAGTGAAAATAGGGCATGTATTGAAGGAGAAAGGATCCTGTTGGAAATCCAGGATCTCCACAGCTGGCCAGCTGCCTAGTAAACACTGAGCTGGCCCTTTCTTGGTCCTCTGGGCCCTCACCTCTTGTGATCTTCTCTTTTTTTATTCCTAAGTTCCCCCTTCCCCTGTCTCATTACTTCATCTTCTTAGGTGGATGGTGTTGGCCCAGAGGAGAGCCCAGCTCATGAGGTGGTAACCCTGACGAAGAGTGGGAACGTTGTGTCTTTTATAGTCTAGCTGCTGTGTAGGGTCTCCTGTCTCTCCCACCTGCCTCTTCCCTGGCTGCCTGTTCTCTGCTAACTCCTCACATTTCTACCTTCTCTCAATAGTGCCATAGTCTGGTGACCTTAAGGATGTGCATCACAGCCACAGGAGAGAGTTTTTCTGGAGCACTCCTTTGCGGATGTGTGAGAGCAGAGTTAGGACTGTATTTCCTGCAATCGCCATGGTAGACACAAGCCAGGACCTCATTGAGAAGTCACCCTTCAGCTCTAGTGTCATTGCCCATCTTCATTTAATGAAGGGTCATCAAGAATAGGTCTACCAGGGGAATTGGTTCATGGCAGAAACATGAAGATGAGGTATTGACTATTTGTCTTAGTTTTTAGTTCCTCTTGTGATAAAATACTCTGACAAAAGCAATCGAGAAAGAAAGCCTTTATTTGGTTTCCAGTTCACAGGCCATCATTGTGGGGAAGTCAAGGCACCAGGCCCTTGGAGCAACTGGTCACATCACATCCACAGTTGAGAGCAGGTAGCACTGCATTAATATTTGCAGCTTCTGCCCTCTTCTTTCATTCAGACGAGGGCCCAACCCATGAGATATGTCCCAGTTAGGGTTTTTATTGCTGTGAATAGACACCATGACCACAGCAACTCTTACCAAGGAAAACACTTAATTGAGATGGTGGCTTGCAGTTTTAGAGGTTTAGTCCATTATCATCATGGAAGAGAGCCATGGTGGCATTCAGGCAGACATGATGCTGGCTGCATCTTGATTAATAGTGGAATGAGACAATGGTCAGTATCTTGAGCATATATGAGACTTGGAAGCCTGCCTCCACAGTGACACACTTCCTCCAACAAGACCACACCTACACTAACAAGTCCATATCTCCTAATGGTGCCATTTCCTATGAGATTATGGGGACCAATTACATTCAAACTACCACATGGTGCCCCAATATCTAGGGTGTGTATCATCACCTCAATTTACACAAGGAAGAAAATCTCTCATAGGCATGCTCACTGACCAACCTCATCTAGGCAACTCCTCACTGAGATACCCTTCCCAGGTGATTCTAGATTGTGTCAGGTTGACAATGAAAACTCACCACCTCAGTATTCAATTTTGATCCCTAACTAGTGGATCCCTAACTAGGTCCAACAATAGCCACATGGAGCAAGCTGACCCTTCACAGGTGGCACTGTGTTACTGTACTGTTTTACACAGACAGTCTTGCTTCCAACCTGGCAGATGTCTAATGGCCTTAATGAAGTGTCCAGCAGGTATGACTAATGGTTTTGACCCCAAGAAAGATAAATTATGGCTGGATATTAGGGATGTAAAAACAATAATCACAGGCAGATATTTCTAGGCATTTCTTTTGAAGCTAGTTTGACAGTGACCCATGAGTCTTAAGGGCCAGTGAGTTGGGTTGGCAGGGACAGGAGTGGGGGCAACAACAGAGTAGCAGATCTGGGTGCCTTTGCTCCCTAGCTGCTGTCATTTGCCCCATCCCCATCTGCTTGGTGCCTGGAAAGGTAATGACATTTTACGAAGTGTGGGCATGTGTGGTGGTAACATTCTGGTGGTGTTTAGTATGCATGTAGGAAGCTGCCTGGATGTTGTTTGAATTTTCTTAAGACACTTGGATTTTTAAAAACTTTGTGTGCAAAGGTAGCATGGCATTTTAAGCTAATGAGCTGGTTGCGGTATCTTGTCCTGTTCCAAGTTAAATAGGATCTGCCTTTAAAATCTAGGTGCTTAATTGCAGTTCTTTAAAGGCCATCTTGCTAGAATGGAGCTGGCTAAGTAATGGCTTTACTTTTAATTAGTAGTAAGCAGGGCAGCTCCTTGATTACCTCCACTGAGTCAAGGAAGCCAGAACTCTTTGTGTGTGTGTGTGTGTGTGTGTGTGTGTGTGTGTGTGTGTGTGTGTATACATTATTGGACCACAGGCTGATGCCAGATGTTTTCCTTAATTAATCTTTATTCTGTTATTATTTTTAATACTATTTTCATTTCATTGTTGAAGAGGGAGAAGAAAGAGTATGAGAGCTAGAGGAACAGGGAGTTTTCTGTGAGATTTTGTTTCCACCTTAGTTTTTGGGACAGGATTTCTCACTGAATCTAGAGTCACTGATTTGGTTACATTGTTCACACAGTTAGCTCCAGGGATCCTCACATCTCTGCCTCCCCAATACCTAGATTGGTTCTATTGGGCTTAGATTTTGACTTGAGTGCTGGGGATTTGAGCTTGGGTCCTCATGCTTGCAAGCACTTTCCTTGCCTAGCAATCTCTACAGTTCTGAAGCCTGGCCTCTTCATGGGCCCAAACAGATGCAGTCAGAGCAGAAGCACAGGTTTTGTGTTAAACTGACTTGAGGAGAACTGCTGCTCCTAGCACTCACAGTATGACTCTTAGCTCCAAGTCACAATTTCCTTATTTTTAAAATGAGAACCATGACCCGCCTTATTGGGTCACTGAAAGGTTTACACATAATAGTTGTAAGACTTTTAAAATAGTTCATAGTCACACGTGATGGTTCTGTAGGCCAGCCCTTGGGGATAGTAACACGGGTTCTAGAACAAGAAATTGTCACAGATACATCAGAAGTAAGTCTCTGTGGTGTTCTCGAGCTTCTCAGACCATTTGTTACAGCAAGTTTGAAGAGCCTTGGAAGCCAGAGAGGATGAAATGAGGGTGGTCGCGTCTTTGGAGACCCCAGAGATAATCAGTGTAGATTCTAAATTTAAAAAAGAACACATGAAAACACACACACACACACACACACACACACACACACACAAGCGCTAGCTGGTAATCTACAGCCATATCAAAATTGAGAGTTTCATCACTTGGGGGTTTCTCCTGCAATATATAGATATCACTCCACCATGATGAATAATCAACCCTCTGCCCTGTGAATACTGGGGCTTAAGAAAGCCATGCAAAATATCACCCTTACATTGCTTTTCACCTTGAGAGATGACACCCTGCCTCTTTTGTTTCTATGTGGGTCTACAGGGGGCAGGAAAACTTTCTAGTTCACAAGAAAGGTAAATCCTAGGTCCTTCATAGCTTTTGCCTGAATTTAACACGTCTGGCTTTTGAAAAGCAAATGATTCTGAATATGAGGTGCTGCTTCTGGAAGTAGACGGATGATGGTGTATACATATAGTAGTTTTAGGTATGGACTAGGTGTTGCTGCTGGAGGTAGAAGGATGATGGTGTATACATATAACAGACATAGGTATGGATTAGACAGATAGCTCTCCTTCATATGGTGATGCTAAGTACATGCTTGACTTTCAAAAATAGTGATGAGAAGGAGAGAAAGGCAGCCCAGTGGCCAAGAGTGTTTCCTGTTCTCACAGAATGCTTAGTTTGATTCCCAGCGTCTACATCAGGCAGTTCACAACTACCTAAATCTCTGACTCCAGAGGATCCAACACTCTGCTCTGACCTATGGGGTCACCTGTTGAATGCACATACCCTCAAACACATTATTATTAAAATAAAAGCCATAAAACCTTTAGAAAATAGTTATAATTTTGTAGGCAATCATGATTCTGTCATTGATATTGCCAATTGACACTTTTAGGTGAAAATAGATATGAGAAGACTCTGAGATCAGAAACAGGTGTTAGAAGCAGTGTTGGGTTGGAGGCCAGACTGGCAGCCCCATAGGATAAAAACAGAGAAATGGGAAAAAGTGCACTGTGGTTTGTTGGTTTCCAGATGGGTGGTCACCAGCATGTGTGGTGGAGAAAGGAGAGAGTGACAAGAGTAGAGGTTGTCAAGGGAAGCTTCCAGAGCAGGTGAGAACCATTTCAGAGATGGCGGTGAAGTGGGTATTCTCAGAGCCCACTGGAAAAGGAAGGAATAGGTCTCAATGCATTTCCACTCCTCTTCACCTGAGCTCTGGCCAACCATCACATACTGCATATTTAGTATTTATTTCTCAGATGCTGCTCAGGTACCTTCCCTTCCCAGTGCTGACCTCCTCACCCTTCTGCTAGCCTCAGCATCGCCACCATCACCATCACCATCACCATCACCATCACCATCACCATCACCATCACCATCATGGCTGTTTCAGAACTCGCCTCTAGGTTGTTCCACCTCTCCTTGGCCTCCCTACTGATGCCAAGATGTTCTCTGGAAATGCAAATCTCCAAGTTAAAAGTCAATTCTGGGATTTGATTGACTTCCCTATGAAGATGGACTTTTTTTTTGGCTCAGCAGATGCATCATGTGCTGCTGGCTCCTGCTTCGACAGCCAGCCACTTCTCCTTTCTCTAGCCCCTTCTCAGAACAGCTGCTCCCTCTATATTATACATATGTCATGCTGTGGTGTGACTTTCCCTAGGGATTAATGACCAAACACCTACTCACTCATACCACAGAAACAATTCCACTCAGTTCTAGCTTGGAAAAGCAGCGAGCTAACTGGGGTTCCTCACAGGAGAACAGGTGACAGGTTACAAGAGGAGCATGGGTGACTCAGAGGCAGGTGCAGGAGTGATGACTCACAAATCTGCATCCCTACATCCCTCTGACCAACCTGCTGGCAGCTCTGCCGACACAGTCTCCTCATGGCAGCCATTGCTTCCCGAGTTCATAAGCTTGGAGAGAGGCCCTTTGATCCCATCAGTTCTAGGAGCTCGGGGAACTTGTAAGTTTTGTTTACTTCTGGGGCCTTATGTGTTTCATTTACTTCTTGAGTCTTATGCATTTCCTGCTTCCCTCCAGGAGGACTAGCTTCAATGTGCAGGGAATAGCTGTGGGATTGCAAGAACAGTCTGGACTGTTCAGGTCCTGCTTGTCCACACTCTGGAGTACACAGTTTGTGTTTTGTGCTCCTCATGCATGCCTAACCTCTGCTTTTCTGCAAAGTTCTCTCTCTAGTGAGTTCTCTGAAGGCAGTGGCTATTCTTTCCATGGATTTCTCTCTGTGGAGGACTTCACAGCCCAGGTATTGATAAAAAATTGTTTTTGGCATTGACCTGGTGAGAGGCTGGGTATGGAGTAGATGCAGACAGGGAGAGGAAGGAATTAGCAGCTTAGAAAGCTAGAGAGAACTCTAAACTAGAACCAAAGGTGAGAGACTAAGATATCATCATTTCCCATAAAGTTGTTAATATAGGGGCTGGAGATGGCTCAGTCAGTAAAGTTTTGCTAACGTGAGCGCCTGAGTTCAATCTCCAGAACCCACATTAAGAACTTCCAGGTGTGGTAGTGCACACCTGTAATCCCAGTCCTACTGGGAAGGCAGAAATAGGCAGATTCCTGGGTCTCATCGGTTAGTTGTGAGGTCTGAGTTCGTGAGGGACTCTGCATGTAAAAGCAAAATGAAACCCTCAGGATGGATGATGCTTGATGTTGTCTTTGGATCGCACATGCACACACTTGCATACACAAGGGCACCTATATGCCCACGAATACACTTAGACGGACAGACACACAGATGCACATGCATGCATGCAACACACATCTCACATCTCTCTCTCAATCTCTCTCTCAATCTCTCTCTCTCTCACATACACACACACACACACACACACAGAGAGAGAGAGAGAGAGAGAGAGAGAGAGAAAGAGAGAGAGAGAGAAAGAGAGAGAGGCCCAGAGAGCAGCATGATCTTCTCTTCAGTTTGAATTAGTTCTGTTGCTATGGCTTTAGTGCAGACCTTGACAAAGAACTCGACCTTTGCCCTCTGTTGCTCACCTCTGCTTTTGTTTATCTTTAAGTGGACTGCTGTTTTGTGTGCAGCGTGGTGTGGCTGTTTGATGGAGCATTAGCTTATGGCTCTGAGAGCAGGCAGATCTTCCCAGGGTCCTACCAGGGATGCTCCAGGGAGAGCTCAGATTGGATTAGTTAGCAGACATCTGCTCCCCCACAAAGCATCCCATCTTGGATCCACATCAGAAGGGAGCAATGTCTTGCATGAACCCCTCCATGGTGATACCAGCAGAGTGTCTGTTATAAAGATCTCAGGTAGGTCCAGAAAAGGGGTCTCTGCAGGGAGAGGAAACGGTGAGGCAATTATGCTTTGTGGTCTAGTTTATTAATTTCATTTTTTTCTTTTAATCTTTGAACCTAAATATCCCGAGTCTTCTAGCTTTACTTCATGCATGAAATGGCACCCATGTCACAGACTGCAATTACTTATGAATCAGACTTGAAAAATCTTGTTTCCCTTACCCCCAAATCCAAGGAGAATTATACTCATAGATACAGATACGCCTATGGCTTCAAAAATCTCTCTATGTAAGATGAGTCCATGTTTGTTTTATGGCATGTACTGTTACTATAATAAACACCATGACCCAAAGCAACCAGGGAAGAAAGGGTTTATTTGGTTTACAGGCCACTGTAAGTGTATTACTGAGGGATGCCAACTCAAGACAGGAATCTGGAGGCACGAATTGAAGCAAGGACCATGGAGAACACTGCTTCTTGGCTTGCTCTCTCTAGTTGCCTTTTTATATAGCTCAGGTCCACCTTCCCAGGGATGGTACTGTCTGCAGTGAGCTGGGACATCTCACATCAGTTATCAGTCAAAAAGAATGATCCACAGACTTGCCTTCAGAACAGTCTGGTGGAGGCAATTCCTCAATTGAGGATCCCTCTTTCTAGGTAACTCTGGGTTGTATCAGGTTGGCAAAAAATTAACCACCACAACCTCTTTCTATAGAATTCTAGTTGTATTCCTAGTTTTCCCTCATTCAGGCAGGCTGCTGGTATGTGTGTGTGTATGTGTGTGTGTGTGTGTGTGTGTGTGTGTGTGTGTGTGTGATCTTCTAAAAGTAGAGGTGTGCCTCAATGTATTTCTGGGATTCATCTGTAAACTGTTGAATCTGTTCTTTGTGTTGCTCTACTACAGCATCTGAGGTCAGGTACAGGTACTTTATGAAGCAAAGAGGTTCATTTACAGTTTTGAAAAGGGAAAGTCCAATGGGCGGTGGCCTTCTGATGAGGCTGCTTTGGTTGCATCATGGCAGGGGGCCTTGTGGAGGACTGTGTGCAAAGAGAGAGAAGAGGTGGTGAGATGAGGAGGAGGTGGTGAGGAGGTCAGGGTCACTGTCTGGCTCCCTCTCTGTATGCATTCTCCTGCGAGGGCACATGTGCCCATGCACCCAAATGCAGAGACAATAGGCATTGTCCCTTTCTCATTCCCTGGATACAGGATGTCTTTTTGAACTTAGGGCTCCCTCCTTTTGGCTAAGCTGCTAGCCAGCAAGCGCCAGTGGTCCGTCTGTATGTGGTGTCCACCCTCCTCAGTGCTGGGTTACAGATGCATATGCTGTATATGTGTTCTGGGGATCCCCAGGCCCAGGTTCTCAGGCTTTTGTAGCAAGCACGCTTATCCACTGAGTCATCTCCTCAGCCCCAGGCTCACTGTGTATTAGTTACGTTTAAGTTGCTGTAATAAAATACCATGACCAAAAGCAGCATAAGGAGGAAAGCTTATGGCTTATGGTTCCAGGACATTAGCGTTCATAATGGCAGAGCAGCATGGCAACAAGGTGGCATGGTGGCGGGACCAAGGAGCCGAGAGCTCACATCTTCACCACACACAGGAAGTACACAGGGCGAGTCAGAAGTGAGAATTCTATACATTCTCAAAGCGTGTCCCCAGTGGCATATTTTCCACCTCCTAAAGGTCCCCTGATTTCCGCAAGTGGCAGCACCAGCTGGGCACCAAGTGTTCAAATGCATGAGCTGAGGGAGAGCATTCTCATTGAACCACACAGCAGTCTTCATACAAACGCATTTGGTGAAACAGATTCATCTAAAGACAGCGTCAATCGTTTCAGAAGGCCTCGCTCCCTGGTTTGTTTCATTAACTTTTCCTGAAGAGATTCACCAGACATTCATTCACTTCACATGGGCACCAATGACAGTCTAAAAGGTAATTTCATTAAAGTTCAACTTATTGAGAGCAATGCATTTCTTAAGTCTTCTTTACATCATGGGAGACCCCAAACAGCTGCATCACCACAAGATCCCACCTCATAATGTGTGGCATCCTCATTGAAGCCACGCCATAGGGTCCATCGTTCAATTAGTTTTCCACTTTTTGTGTATCTAGCATTTCCCAAGATCATTTGCAGTTGAGCAAGGGGTGGGGGAACAGCTGGACTCTCAGGTGAGGGTCTCCTGACCGTGCAGTCCTCCACCTACTAGGAAGTGTCATTAACTCCAGTGCCATCACAGACTTGACTAGTATTGTAGTGGTCTGCTGTAGTTGCCACAGCTTCTGAGGCAAAGTTCAAGACACTATCATGTGATGAGGAAAAAACTGTCCTCCTTTTTAAAGGTCCCTCACATCTCAGCGTCACCTCATTTGAACCATATGCCTCTAGCACACAAACCTATTGGGGACAGACCGCATCAGAACCACAACAACCGCTTATAGAAACACATTCATTCCTCCTTTGTTAGGGTGTGGTCCACCCTTAAAGACACTGGTCACTCTGAGGGTCCAGATCCCACAGCTTGAATAAATCAGGGTACTCCTTGTAAGATAGAGTTCAGAAGCCATGCTGTGCTGTGTCTTCACAGCCTCTAATTTATGGTTTAACCCAGTACCTGGGTCCTCCACGTTCCTCGTCGCATAGGTTCTCCTAGACTAAACACGAGCTGTGGAACCTCCAGCAGCTGATTTTCTTCCCTGTTCAGAGAATTTATCTGATGGCCCTTCTGACCTCCCCACCATCCTGTCCACAGCAGCTCTCTCTCTCTCTCTCTCTCTCTCTCTCTCTCTCTCTCTCTCTCTCTCTCTCTCTCTCTCTCTCTCTCTCTCTCTCTCTCTCCCTCCTTCTCCACTCTCCCTCCCCCATCTCTCCTTTTATTTCCAGGCATTGCAGTGAAATCTCTATTTTTCTTTAAGTCTCCATTCATACTGGTATAATGTGTTATAATGTTCTCCCACCTCAAGGCCCAATCATAGCTTCCATGATCCTGAGGTCCAGTCTCCCAATGAGGTTCATTTCTGAAAGGTAATTTTGTTAGCTCCTTTCCTAACTCTACCTACCTGCGTGCTGCTCCTCTGATTTCATCTTTAAAACTGCTATCATGACTACCTACATGCAAGCCTGTCTCTTTGGTAGACTGTAAACTCCTCAAGGACAGGGAATGTATTCAATCTTTGTAGTCCAAGTAAACTGAATAAGACATAAGAATTATTGCTGGGTGTTCTTAGGAATCCCAAATTTCCTAGAATACCCAATTCTCCATTCTCTATGCAGGGCCACATGCCTAAACATTTTTCCCATGTCTTGGTGACAGTCAATTGGAGATTTCCATTGATGGAATGGGATTGCCTGCAGTGATTTCCTCAATACAACATTCAGGACAACTTTAAACTTTTCATGCTTTGTGATATTTTTCTGCCCCCAAACTGTTTTATTGTGGATTTTGCTAAAAGTCTCATACCTTGACATCAGAGAGAAACTTAGTGGGTGAAATATAGGTGCAGCAGAAATAGCTTCAGGTAAAGTCCAAGACAGAGTATTGGAGGATGGTGTGGGGAAATCTCTTCATCTACTTAAGTACCAGCGATAAGTGGCATGTAAGCTTATTGCTCTTCACCTGAAATACATTTTCTGGCCACTTAACATGAAATAAGGCCTTTAAAAGTCTCAGATCTCTCTCTCTCTCTCTCTGATG